CAAACAATTTCGTCTTCAAAAGCTTCGGAATTTCGGCTTCAGGGGGGGGACGAAACCGGTACCCAGTTTCCCGGGTCAGTGCATACATACATATATAAACAAATACATTCTTGCTTACATCGTAAAACAGCAACTGCCATTACCACAATGATACCAAAGGTCGCAATTCGTTCCGCTTGTTCGCTATCTTCTAGCCGTTTACGTAAGTAGTTTACTTAGGCGGAGCCGTCGCAGAGCTCCTATCGCCGTGGTCCTGTTGTACAAACTTTGCCACAAGGAGCTTTTTGTCGATGACCCTATAGCTTGTACTCTCACGCTGCAACTTGTACTTGTAGTTGCCAAAAGGTCGGCCTCCTCCGCCTGATACACCTCCTCCTCAGCCTCGGGATGCTCCTGCAAAGAAGGACAGCGGAAGCACGTTCGGGTGCTTCTGTGCCGGGGATCAGAGGTTCCAGAGCTCCGCTTGCCTGCTCGTGCTGGAACTCCTCCTGGCTCGGGTGCTCCCCATCTTGCTCAACCTCTTGCTCCTCCTCTTGCTCTTGTTCCTCCTGCTTCCAGTCAGGGAAGCATGTGGTTCAGGCTGATTGGGTGTTGAGCCTCCTCTTGGTCCTGATCTTGAGAATCGAGGCTCTGAAGCCTGCACAAGTAGAGACAAGACTTGTCTTCCCTAGTTCGCTAGCCAAGCCTTGACCACATCATGGCATGGGCCAAGTAGACGCTCACCAGTGTGCCTCACAAGACCAATCTAGTCTGAAACTCAGACTTTGCATGCGTCGGAATTTTCAAGAATCAACTACAAAGAGGCTGCTCAGCCGGATGCCCACGAGTGTCATCGTCCTGCAGCGGGGATGCTCCAGTGAACTACCGAGACCATGTTGGAGCTACAGCCCTTCCCTCCTGAAGTCTCCGCTCCGTTCGCTCGACTTCTCGATTTCAATCTGGGCACCGGAAGCCTCAGCGAGATCCTATGGAGACCGCCTGTGAACGGCGGGCAGCAGGCTTCCGGCCTGTTCAACTTGCCGTATGACCTCACCTCCAGTGCCCACGAGCGCTCCAACCTGGGTGTTTCTGAAGAACATTAACCTGCATGAACACAGGAAATCATCAAAGACTCTAGGGAATAGGCACGCAAGGCTGGGACTTCACAGCAAACAGAATACCTGCCAGGAGGTTCACGACACTCTCGCTCCACTTCTTGGCCAACACTGGGCGACTTGCGACATATCGACTGTTCCAGTCGGGAAACTCTCCAGCTCATTGGCCTAAGGACAAGACGATGGACTTCGGGTTCATGCATATTGAGCAGAGGGCCACGAAAGCTGAGGCAAACAAAGGAAGCAGAGTCGAGAGAGCTCGGTCGATATAATGCCTGTGAAGCCATGAAGCTTGAAACCTACAAGATGATAGTATTCTTCTGCAGATCGCTGCGCACATACAGTTACACACTTGTCGTAGTAGTCGTAGTACCTTGACCGACCTCATCGCACTCCGAACGTCCCTGCATAAGCAACAACTCGGCCATCTACGAGCAGCTTCGAACTGTCCTCGTGGCGGCTTAGCTGATTGCAGGAAGCATCAGACTTGAAACCTGCTGCGTAGAAGCACTCGGCCACGCACAACTTGCAATGTTGCCTAAACAGATGGACCTCAAGGAGAGGACCGGGGGCAGGGCCGCCCCCCGACTCTGTACTGTACAATACCCCAGTTTGTGGTGAGGCCACCTTATTGCCCTCGCCTCCCATAAGGTCCTGCACACGATCACCACTACTCAAGCGAATTGGTAAACGACATCTCCTGTAAGCTCCACAGAGATAGTGTACGTGACAGTGGACCCCAAAACGAATGGACCTGCCGCTGAGCCTTCGGCCAAGGAGTCTACCTCCTGAAGAAGCACAGCATGGTACATGCTATGCCGGTCTTGCTCCATGTCTGCCAAATGTGTATCGCATCATGAAGTCTGGCTTCAGCTTCCTCATGGCCCAATCTCAAAGCTCAGAGCATCACGGAGCCTCTCTAGCTTGCCCATTCTCGGCAGTCTCCAAGGGCCTTCCTGCTCGTTTTTGGAAATGTTACAGGGCCACTTTCCGAGTCACAAAGACGGCTGAGGTTGGAGCCTTTGGCAGGTGGTAGTATCACCGCAGGTGGGGGCGGTGGCACTATGCTCTTGAGCGCGCCCTCTAAGCTCTGACCTTACATCGCATCTGGCAACGTGGAAAACCGAATCCATTCTCAACAAGTCTTGGCTGCATCACACGCGATCAAAATCGGCGTCCTAAGGCATGCGCCGACCTTCTGAGAAGCCTCGTGCAGAAGCGACTTCTTCTCTGCAACTGTTGGAATGCATGTGAGCATGTGGCTTGACATGTGCAAGAAAGATCTTGCCTTTGGTAACGCCTTAAGCGTCGATGCTCGGGAACCTTTCCCGGCCTGCCGACAGAATGCCCATATCAGATGAGACGAACTGCAAGACACAGAACCAAAGCTTTGCGAAGCGCCTGTGCCTTCTACAGACCTAGATAGATGACAAAATCTGAGGGCACTGCAGGATTGGCTGCAGGCGGTGCAACCCCTGCAGTGATCACGCTGCTGTTGGGCGAGGTGACTCGTGTCTCGGTATGGGAATCACACGTCGAGGGCCCGGTGGCTTGTCGAGGTCCTGGAAATACAAGTCAATTTTTCAGTGGAGCCAATCTTGAACCCCAAAGCTCCACACACACGTGGCCCGCACACTCCTTGGGCTCAAGAGGGGGCTCCCAGCCACGCTGCACGGCCTGTGAACCGCGTCGTGAAGCCCAGTGCTCACAGCACTGGCCCTGGAGCTGCACCTGGCCTCGCCAAAGTTGACAACGCGGGAGAAGCCGTGATAAAATTCCTCCTTCATGAATCTGCAAGGATGTAGCGACTTCGAAGCTGCAGCTGTGGCGTGATTCTGCTCCTCGAACTCGCTCTCGCATTGCACAAATCTTGGAGAGTGGATGCTATGGTGATGGACGCACCAAGGTAGCTCCACACCACGAAACACAACATGCTTGCAGTGCAGGCTGTGGCCGCAGCTCGTTGATGTGCCGCAGTGCTGCGAAGATGGACTGGGGCCTCAGCGGGGTACCGATATTACCTTGCATGCGCTGTTCAGTAACATTAATCAAGTTCTCTAAGCATCCCACGTGCCGATGACTTTGCCTTGCAGACAGAGCCAGTTTCTTTACACGCGGCTCCAAAACATCTATGTGCATCCTACAACTCCTTTGCATCTTCAGAATTGAAACGCGGCAAAACCTGACAGCCTACACACGAATGGCCCATCTCGACATGAAGCTGTCAGCACAGCCCTGTTGACCCTCTGTCAGGCGCTGCTCCTGCCTGCACGATGTCCCAAGACGCTTTCATTCTCGACAAACACCTGCAGTACGTTTTGGCATGATTCTAACAACCTTTTACCGGCCTAGGCAATTGAACTCTTGGTTGCAGGACGGGATAGCAAATGCAGCTGAGAAGTTCTCGGCCTACCTGATTCTATGCCCATCATGAAAATTATGCTTCGGGGCCTTGGCTCCCGAATCTTGGCGGATGAACTTGATGTTCTTTCCTTGTGCACCAACCTGAATGCTAACACAAATTGACAATCGGACCGCGATGCGAATTCAATGCCGTCACACTCCGGCAAACGCATGTCCCTTGTTCAACAGCTTGGAAAATCATCACCACAAAGGGGGGGTGTTGTAAGATATAAATGGTGCACCGAAAACGCCTAATGAGGGGGCATTTTGAAGATATATGATGAACCGGAAGAAGGGGGCGTCTTCAAGATACATGATGAGCCGAACGAAATCGCCAAATGAGGGACGTGTCTATAAGAGAGAGAGAGAGAGAGAGAGAGAGAGAGAGAGAGAGAGATAGATAGATGGATCAGATAAAGTTGTACATATATATATATACTGTTGATGATGATCCGGGATCGCCAAATGAGGGGCAGGTGGAAGATCTATGCCATGCTGAACCGGAAACGACACATGAGGTGCTTCTTCTTGTTGTTGCTGCTGTTGCTGTTGCTGTTCGTGGTGGCCGCGAGGTGCGATGCGGACGCTGGCGGGACACGGGATGCAGGACGCGGGAAGCAGGACGTGGGGACGCGGGAGGACGCACGAGAATTAGCCAATTATGGATGGTGCTGGCGACTGTGGGTGATGATGATGATGATGATAAGGATGACATGGACCATTGACAGAACTTTTCCCAACGCTGCCAGCGTGGCTTGGAAGACAACCAGGGGCAGTCAGGTTGCTAGAGAACATGCTTGCAAATTTGTCAACCTTCCACCAATAGCAAAGTCTCCGCGAGCCCAGGGATCAAACCATATTGAAATTGAAATTCAAGGGAAGCTTGCGTCTTGCACGAAGCCCGTGTAGCAGGATGCCAAGTTCAACACAATCCTTGTCAAATGGAAAGCCCCTTAGCCCTGACATTTTGCAATAAGTAGCCTGCTCGCAGCATGTTCACACGAAGCACACATTTACGGACAGCCTCCACACGACGCAACAACATGTCACGTCAACAGCAACTAATGATGTAAGGGAAAGCAACAGGTACCTACAAGTTCCAAACAAACGGTGACACGACAGCGACCACACTCTCCGTCGAGTTTCGGGTCGGAAGCGCTGCTAACATTCCATTCAGAACAGCCGGAGCATCCAGTCACCAATACGGTACCACACGAACACCAGCGTCGTTAGTGCCCCCGCAGTTCCGAACATAAAGTTTAAACTTCGCACCTTGTGAAGCTTCCACTACCAAGACGACCCTGCTTGCGAGCTTTCGTCTTTCATTCGAACCCGCGCCTCCGCCTCGCAACCCTTCTGGCTGACTGCTTCAAAGCCCGGAGCTGAAAGGGCGCTGCAAGCGAGTTTGTTCCTGGTTTGACCGGCCCAGCAAGCTGAATGCCTCTGCTCTTCAGGCCACTCGGCGAGTTCATCCCACATATCTGAATCAAACCATTCGCAGGAAGCTTGTTCGGCCTGGAATTGATAGCTTTTGCAAGCCATTGGAGCACAAGTCGTTGGACATGCTTGAAGGGCACCTCCCCTGCTCCAGCGCATCCCCGTCGCTTTTTTTGTGCGATGGCCTTGCCTCTTGCCTTGCCTTTCGCGTCTGGCCAAATCCTGCAGCGGCTTCCTCTCTTCGTGGTGCCAACAACAACCGACGAAGCCATGCCAAGCCCAAGCACTATAAAGACTGAAAGCCTCAGCCCTGCGCCTCCTCTGCTGGATTGAAGCCACCTGCGGAGCTGGTCGAGCCTGGGGGCCGGACGTTGGCCCCTAACTACGCGGATGCCGAGATCATTGCACCCAGGTGCGGCGCGACATTCAGCACCGAGCCAACAGCACGCGGGACCCAAGCACCCACACGGGAATCCCCAGCAACACTCAAGGGCGGCTTGCCGCGCCCGACTTGGATTCCAGAAGAGGTCCCCGACCCAGCGAGCAGCACGCGTGTGTGGAACCAGGGGGCGATTGTCAGCAAGCATGTGTGGAACCAGAGAACGATTAGTTACTACAACAAACGTGTGTGGAGCCCAGGGACGATTAGTTGATCAGCAAGTGCGGATAAACAGGGGAGGATTGGCTGTCAGTTGATCTGAGTGCTATCTTTCTGGAGCACACTCCTCGAGGCGAGGCACATCGCTGACGTTGAGCCCAACATCGGGGCGCGTGGCCATGAACAATTTTTCATCCTTGTTGGCCAGTGTCTTGGCGACCAAGCTCGTGGATGTGGAAAACTCTGGTCCAGAGTGGGGGCTTGCGGGCGGCAACCAGTGGTTAAGCAAAACCAGCTCGCTAGCAGCGGCGTTTCCTGCTTGTGCTTCTACGCTTGCGAACTGCTTTTTGTTTCGTTGGACCCATTTGCTGGGGGTGGGTTTTTGCTTCCGCGACCGCGAACTGGCGCATGGAGGCACCGGATGCATCGGTGAGAAATTGTCATCGCAAAGTTCTGAAGGTCGAGGCAGCATCCTGCCTGTGCCGCCAACAGTTTTGAGTTGAACAGGAACGTAAACAGACTATCTCCTCGCAACGCGGCTTGGTGCGGGATTCGTCTTTGGCTGATGTTGGGTTTTTTGTTAAGTCTGCCTTGTCCTTGCTTCGCCGCTGCCAAGCGCTGCATACGAAGGATGTCATTCACCTGAGCGCACGCATCCTCATGCTACGCATCCTAGAGGTAGTTTGTAGTTGGGTTGATTGTGCTACTGAGGACAACAACAGCCTGGTGCGACCTCACAGCATGTTCGATGTGTGAAATGTCGTCGCGGCGCTTCAAGCTTTTACGTGATTTCGGTTCAGATGATAGATTGGGCACGGACGTGCCGAGCCCGGTGCGAAGGCCCTACTAGGACTTTGCCTTGCGCCAAAGGTCCGGCCGCTGGGGCTTTTCCTCATGGCGAAGGCCTCGTGCCTTTCTGTCCAATCGACAGGCAGGCGGTCTGCGACTGTTCAGGTTTTGTGAACTTTCACGAAAGGCAACCATGTAACGCCTGCATCCACCGTACTGCCCGGCTGTTTGTATGCTCAATATTGTTCCTCAGTCAGTCTTACACACATGTGGTGATCAACTAGTCGTGGTTTGCTGTCGGCAGACGGCTGCTGACACTGTTTTTGGACCGCCGAGCGGTGCTTGCGCGCTATGCACCAGCACCTCACTGCCCTTAGAAGCATGCTTCACGCAAGGTCCTGACACACTTCATGCGCAGGGTTTCGCGTTAAGGTTGGGCGCTAGCAGCTAGCACTGAGGCTATTGCAGTGGAAGCCTTGGCCGAGTGTTTTGCGCAATTCTCGATCTCACGGCTGTCCTCAGCTTTCCACGTGCGCATCTGACCCTCCGGACCCCTGGCTGGATTCCGGGTCTCGGACGACAGCCACCTCAGATAAGACCTCTGACAAACAAGGCTCGCGCCTGCGTCCTGTCTGATCAGAAGGCCTCCGATTTTGTGGCGCCCGCCATGACAAACAGCGCCGCAGAACCGAAATTCTGTCTGAGCACTGCGCTACCTGCAGCTCAACCCCTCAAGCGTCACAAATGCATCTGCCGTGGCCGCCGTGGCAGTCGCTGAGCACGACTTCCGTGCACTTGCAGATGAACTCATTGCCTCTGTTGAGCTGTTCGACGCCCATGGGAACATCCACTTCTGCAAATGCAGGTGAGGCTGCACTCACTGCAAGCTCAAAGGCATACTCGCGATAGCAGGCGTGTGTTGCAGCAACAACTTTCGCGATCTGTCTGGCCTCGATAAATCCCGATCGCCGGCACCAGAAGAAGGAGGCTTCAGCGAGAAGGCCCTGTGCTCATGGCAGCATAGCTTGTTTTCCAGTCCCACCGGCACGGATGATGGCGGCTGGCCCATTGCTCGGACGGCTACGTGAGTCTTTTCCACAGGTCGACAGCCTCCTGCGCCGCCTCATGTGCATAGGCAAGCGCCGTCACAAACAAGCCCGGAGGATGAAGAGCCCGCTCGCGTTCCTCCTCTTTCATGGACTGCTGCACGTACACCCCTGCCGTGACTGCTGCTAGCCCTGCTAGCGTGGGCCTGAGCCCAGAGTCTGCCAAATCGAGCGCTCAGTCTTTTCCTGGTAGGGCTACAAGGCTGGGGGGAGAGGCTCCTTTTCTCCCGGCATCAAGAAACGATCAACAGAAATATAGCAAGATGGAGCAACCCAGGGTGGACTCGAGCCACCATACTTTGCTGTGGATCATCGCAGAGCGATCACAAGCAACGCTTTGTCCA